CAGACGAAAATTCTCAAGATAGTAATACTTCTGATTTAAATATGACTACAATACCAGAATTAGTTGATGCTATAGATGGCTATTTGGATAATACTAGAATAAACAGATCCGTTCTAGTCAACTAAATAAAAAGAGCTACAAGGCAGATTTGACGTAAATATACAAATCTCCAAACTGACCAAATAAATGAGTAACGGACAAGGTACAATGCTGAGGCAGAGCGGGATAATGCCTTGAATGATCTTAACATGATGACTACTGCATATAACAATGAAGTAAAAGAACGATGTCGCTGATACCATTCCTATAAAGATAAGTATAAACATGTTATAAATTTACAACAGGATAGATTTACATTACATTTATTGTTGCAACGATATAAAAGGCAGTTAAATACATGTCATACTGAAAATGGATTATTAGAATATAATCACGATCAAATCTTTGATAGGTATGAAAAATAGAAAAATAAAACAAAGGATGAGCGACAATTAATTTTAAATTTACAGGGACAAATTTTATTGTTACAGAATAATAACCCACATCAAAATAATATAGTAACAATGGTAGGATACAGATCACCAACTTTTAGCAGTGCACCTGGAGAAGATCCTGAAGACTTTATTAAAGAATTTAAAAGATATGTATTAGCTTGTTGAATTGATGTAGGAAATGTTGGTGGAAGAGCTGAAGTGGATGGATTATTTGATTCGTGCATGACTGGAGATGCCTCAATCTAGTTTACAAATGAGATCAAAGGTTGAAATTACCAACTTGATAATATTCTTGACAATATAGGAGTAGCAAATATAACAGCTATCTGAGCATTAAACAATGGTGCCTTAACTGATATTAATACTAACCAATTTTAAGGACAAGCTTTAGTAGTGCAAAATACTGCTGGTGGAGATAATACAATTACAGGAGCAAATATAATTTCTGTAGGAGTCTGGGAAGAAAATTGGTCAATTGCTGGAGGTCACCCTGCTTTAGCTGGAACAGCAGTTGTAGCTCCGAATGCTGGTGGAGGAGAAGTGTTATACTTCTAGGTATAAAAATTGAATAAAAATTATATGAGCTTGAATATAACTATACAACGACCAATGTATTAAAACAATCAACTTTGTTTGATACAATAGTACAAGGAATTAAGTTAGTTCAACAATTTGCATCAGACTTATGGAGAATTGTCAAACTTGCCAAAATGACTCCTGAACAAACTCGTGAGCAATGGTTAAGAGGATTATCACCAATGAATCAAAAAATATTTGTCAAGGTGATATGTTTTTCCAGACAATGGATGAACAACTTAAAAATTTATCAGAACTTGAAGCATATACATTTAGCCAAGGCAATACATCTCATCAAATAATATAACAGTCATTTCAACAAAATCTTACATTTGATCAATTTAAATCTGAACTAGAAAAAGAAAGATCTATTTTTAAAGCTGAACTATTAAAATGAAATGCTAAACATAAAGCTAATATGGAAAAATTAGAATCTATCTTACAACAACAAAAAGCGCAGGCACCAGTTCCGCAAACTATTGAACCAGTTAGACAGCCAAGAGGTCTCCATCAAATTTAAAAACGGAAGAAGATTATGGAAAATATTATTTAACTAAATTCCTTAATGATTTAGGTATATATAGTAAAGAAGATTTAGATTTAAAATATACTGAAAAACCTTTTCAAAGATCTCGTCCACAGCAAAAAGATAATTCTAGATTAGAGGAGAAAGTAGATGAAATTGGGAATATGTTATCTCATCTTAATATAAATAATCAATTCCAAAAACCAGTAGCCAAATCAAATCGAACACAACGATATTATCCCTTTCAACCAATAAATTGTAATGTTTCAGCTAATGAAAAAAATAATGGATATGATGAAGAAAAAGATATATAGTATGATTCATCAGAAAAAAAAAAATAGATATTACCAGTAACATATAATGAATTATTTCCAAAGCTTTCACCGGTAATGCGAAAAATGTACCAGTCTCATACAGTTCAGAAGGAAAAATCAGATAAATGGTTTTCATATTTACAATATCTGAATACTAAAATAGATAATATGCCAATCTTTAATTCTTTCTTAGATCCCGAAAGTAAATTTGGAATCTTAAATGATGTAACAATTAATGCTTTGGGATGGAAAGCTAACAAGCCATCTAACTTCGATATAAAAGATAACTCTAAACATATCACTGAAATATTGGGATGGTTTATAAATGTGCCAGTCAGTATAATAGATAAGGATGGTAAAACTGTCACATCTATTGAAAATTTCACACATATTGATGATGGTGAACCTGAACCAATGTTATGTTTAGGTATGTCATGGATTCGAAAAGTTCAAGGTATTCTTGACCCGAATAAAAACCAATTCCAAATGAAGTTACATGGTAAGTCTTATATTATCCCAACTTTTAGCAAGGTCCCAGAAGCATTAGATTCACCAAAAGAGAAGCAAGATTTATTGCCTCAAGTATCTACCATTTCATCTAGCTTGACTAGTGAGGAAGACTTAAAAAAAATTAAGTGAATTGTGAAAATTTGACTATCCATATAAAGGAACTTGAAAAAGAACTATTTACTAGTGTTCAAACCAATTCAGAATTTATTAGATATTATAATAATTTGCGTAATCAGTATAAAGAAGAAATCAATTCTATACTTTCGAATTAAGAATAGATAGTTTAGAAAAATCAGCACGTACAACTGCTCTACTTTTTTTAGCATCTTTTTGTGTTCTTTTAAAAAGCTCCAAAGGATCTTCAGTTTCTTGCGAGATTTCAGGTGATATAGTTTCTAATATTTTATTCACCTTATCAATTGAACCATTACTAATGGAAAATTGATCAGAATTATGAATAAGCTTAGACCTGGATTTTATATTTTTAACAGATTTAGTACATGCTTCATTATTCAAATCAGAAGGTGGAGAATCGTCCCAATTATCAAGACCCTGTTGAAGACACTCATTATGTTCCCATATTTCATAAACACGACGAGTACCAATATGAAATTTTTTTGCCATTTTCTTTGATGCATTTGGTACTTTCCTCCGTGATTCTCTAATTTCTTTAATATCAGATTCAGATAATCGAGTCACATTGAATCGATAAAATTTTTGTTGAATATGAGTAATCATTTTAAGATTGATATATTAGAAAAAAAAATATCAATATTTTTTCAAAACGTATTGATTCCAATATACAATGATACAATAATACATTAATACATATTAATACGTATTGATTCCAATATTATTATACATATTGATGAGTATTGATACGTATTGTTACAATATTAATACCTACGGATAAGTATTGATACATATTGATACGTATTGTTACAATATTGATACATATTGGTACATATTGATACATATTGATACATATTGTTTCTTTTTTAAAAATAGAAATTAGTAAATATCAATACATATTGAATCAAATAATTATGACCAATGTACATACAATGCGAGATATCAACTCACCAAAAGGATATCGACTTGGGAGTACTAGAGAAATGGAACTTGAAGAAGCTTTACGTGATAGTTGTATAACTAATTCTGAACTTATTGAGAATTTTAAAAACTACCGGAAGGTATATTTAGAGTTTAGTAAAAAAATTAAACAGGATAAAGCACAATTACAACTTGATCTAAATCAAACCAATAAAGATAAAGAGAAACTTTTTAAGCATAGTTGTCAACTTATTAATGAGGTTAAACGACTGAAAATAAACAATACTAATTTTATATCCCAGATTACCCAATCACAGATTTCCTGTGATGAGTATAAAGTCAGATACGATATATAATTAAAAGAAATAAAATCACTTCAGGCTATGATTAAGATATTGGAGAGTAAGTTAACATCAACTCAAAAAGACGCATTTTCGATTCAGGAAAACTTATCAAAAACAGAATCTGAGAATCTATTCATTAAATCTAAAATGGGTGAGTTTAAACAAATAGAAGTTGAATTGGAGCAAGTAAAAAGTGAACTTGATTACCTGAAATCAGAGGCTATATCAAAACCTGTAGACCCTTTGGACTATAATTCGAAGAATCATCTAATGGCCTACTTCACAATAGTTGGTAGAAATGATGAAAAAAATATAGCTAAATCTGATAATATACCTATAATTAGTGAATCTAGCAATAGTCTTAGACCGTATCTAGCATGTAGAAAAAATATAGAAGATATCAAAAAAATTGATGATAATGACGGAGTTATCCCTATACCCAAGGTAAGTGACTCACGGAGTGAGGATGCTAACACATCTGAAACTAATAATAGCAAAACTAATAAAGATATTATATTAGACACACATATAAATTCAGATCCGCAGATTTCAGTAGGAGGAATAGAAGCAATACCTATTGTGGCAAGTGGTTTAGTGTCACCATTATCAGCATATATATTACTTATCTTAATGTTTATTGCTTTTATATGGTTTATTGTATTGAGACGCAAATTAAGTATAGGTAAAAAAAACAATCAGTTGCGAGGTATATGAAATAAGTAATCGACTAATATTTCTCGAAAAATTATTAAGAAATATATATTACCTTTTTATAGAAATAAACATGCAGAAAATGAAACTTTTCCTTATGGATATGGACGAAACTAATAAACATGTCGCATCTCGTTGCCAATCTCATCCTGCTAGTCTATCGTGACCCTTCACAATGATAGTTACAGGGAAAAGTAGATCAGGTAAAACTAATATCTTGACAAATCTTTTTCTCAGCAATAAAGCTGAATGTATCATCAGGAAATTTAATTAGGCGTCGATTTACGGAATCTCACATGACCTCCGGAAATTTCCGCCTGAAAAATTTG